TTAATTCCCGCATTTACTTCAAACCCATTCAAACCCAAACTCAAGAATGCGAGACTTGCTGAACGGTAATTCAATAGCACTAATTTGTATGGAGACGATATGATAAAACTAAATAAATACTTACTTTTTCTTTTCACTTTACCGCTTTAGCAAAATGGCACCGTTTCTGGGGATTGGTGTTGTTATTGAATCGCATTGTGATAGTTTCTTTATTTTTGAGTTTTGCACATAATGTTCATATTGTTTATATTGTGTAATTTTACTTGTATATGTATACTTGTGTATTTATTTGTTTATTTTATCATACTTGTGAATTTCACATGTTTTCAATACCTGTAAATTTAGTGTATATGTTTGTTTCTCTTCACGTTTTCTAAGTATTTGGTTAGGTTTCACTGTCGGTGAGCGCTAACCGTATAAAGAGGCAACTTGGATAAATGTGTATAAATAACAAGCGTTGAGCTTACAACGTAAAACAATCATGTTTTATTGTTTTTAATTTCTTTATTATTTTTATTGTATTAGTATAGGTAGTGTTGTGAATTGGTTAAACAAGTTGAAATTGGACAAGTTCTTAAAATTCTCAAATCTTCACTTTTTAACTTGTTTAATTAAATTTCACCCGGTCTTTTAGTATGTTTATAATAGTTATTTTAATTTGTTATTTTTGTGTTTTTCTAAGAGCTTATTTTGAGTAGCTTGAGGAAGTTTGAGGTGATTTTTCAAGTTGACCGTTTTAACTTGAGGATGTATGGTAATGATATTATTTTGAAGTTGGTACATGTCATGTACTCTTTTATCGCTTTCTATAGCATAAGATGTTTAGGAAACTTTTCATTTGTACAAATTGCATGCCATTCATTCTTTTACATTACTTGCTTTTTGATTGAATCACTTTAGTTCCCTTTTTACCCCCAAATGTGAGGAACTTTTCTATTGTTCATATATGCTAGAGGCCACAATTCTTGTTTTAACTGGATTTCATTATGTTTAATATTTTGTTTGTGTTGACTGTATGAAAGCATGAAAATAATCAAGGCATTTTGTTTAATTTTGAGTACAACTACCTAACAAAATAGTCAATTCACCTTGTGAGTGTGTGAACTTTTGTTAACCCCTTTTGAGCCTTTTTGTCAACGTCCATGTTATTTTGAACTTGATGCTTATCTTTGAGTGTTTAGTTCAAATTTTTGGATGGATGTTGATTCTCTGTTTTCTCGAACTCAACTATGATTTTTGGTTTGAATTTTTGCTTTGCCTTAGAAAGTAGGGAGTATTCACACATTGATGTTGGTTGAATTCAAGTTGGGGAGATAAATGTTTTCTCACTTATGTTGTTGGTTGCTATGCGGTTGTGAAAAATAATATAAAAGAAAGAAAAAAAGTGGGGAAAAAAAATAAAAGAGAATTTTTTTGAAAAAGAAAAACATAAAGAGTATCAAATAATTGTGCTAATAAGTAAGGTGTGTTTGGTGTAACACTTGGGATTGAAAGAAGAAGTTTGATTGGAATTTTGTGTTTGAACTTTGTTAGTTGATCACTACCTTAGGTTTAGGCAAGTTTTTATTTCGATTAGTTTTAGAAATTACCCTTTGTTTGTTAACCAAGTCACATTAAAACCTTGAAGCCCATGTGATTCTTGTTTGTGTATGTTCAATGTGAATTTTTGGATGAATGCATAATTTAGTTTATTATTTGCAAGATTGTGGATGAGTGTCAAATCCTCACCTTTGTGTGTTTTTCATCCCTCGATGAATTTTTGCTAGGTATGATTCATGATATGAGCTTGTATTATTTTATATGGTTTAGCATGATTTTTGTACTTAGGATTTATTTCATTTTCATGTTGTCGTTGCAGGATTGTGGTAAGTATTTACTTTGCTTGTGCATTTTTATTTTAAACCATACATTTGTTTTCCGTTTTCAAAACCTGTTGAATTATGACTCTTGGATTGTTGTCTTTTGTTTCTTTAAGTTGCTTGACTTTGTTTAAGGATACATAATGTTTTAAATTGGGGAGAGTTTGATAAGTGCCAAAATGTAGTTATTTTGTATATAGTTTTGTGGCACTTATTGACTCTTGTTTGTTAATATTTGTTGAATAAATCCCAAATTTTGTGTAAATACGTTTAATTTGTGTATATTAGTGTTTTTGTGTACAAAGTGTATTGTTTGATATTTTTGTATCTATTTTGTAGGAATTTATGTGTGTTTGGAGCAATGAGTAATAAAGGCCAAAAGATTCTCCATGATGCATTTGAAGCAATAAAGGAATAAGGCCAAGAAAGAAAGCCATTGTAAGTTGTGCAGGAAAACAATTAAATGGTGTTGCCTGTCAAGCCTCGTCGGGCGAAGCCCAGACAAGGGGTTTACACTTCTGGCTCACGGGGAGAGCGCGGGGCGAGAGGAAGGGGACATTTTCCAATAGCTTCTTCCTTGTGCTCGTGTCTGTGTCGCCGGGCGAGGAATAAAAGAGTCGTTAGATGAAGCTTCCTCTCGTCGGGAAAAGGAGGATAGTTTTACCAGTTTTGTGCATATGGCGTAGGCTGCATGGTGGAATAAAAGGCTGTCGTCAAATGAAGCTTTGGCTCGTCGGACGAGCGTGTCTGAACATAGTTTTATAAATTCATTTTCATTTGTTAGGTATGGTTTTGGGCTTTTTGTTTCCAAAATTCATCACCCTCATTTTTTGGTAGATTAGCTTAGAAAACAACAACGAAGCTTACACACAGATGATCCGGGGTGGATTTCTCATTGATCGGTGCTGACAAATTGGGAGATTTGTGATTCATTTCACTTCTTCTTTGTGCATTCTTCATTTGTTGGGTTTTGTATATATATTTACTTTGAACTCATGTATATTTATCACCCATGGAGTTATATAAAGCTTGCTTTACAAATCTTTGTCGATGATTATCCTGGATTTTTGCTCAGTGTTTAGGGTTTGAGTTACTATAGATATATACTGCTCGAATTCTTATCTAGGGTGATTATCTAATGGCGTCTATATTCTAGAGATAGATTTAGAGCTATTATTCACTTGGGTGTGTGTGCTTAATGCTTACGTGTTGGTTGTGTTGTGGTGAGAGATCATCAACGCGAGTAACTTGGTTGTCTTATGTGTTGTTAAGGTTGGTTGAGAGATCACCTCCGAGATGATACAATCGATCTCTCTACTTTGGGTTAGAAATGACATAGGGTGTGAGCGATACATGATGACATTCATGAGTATTGTAGGTTGCGTATGACTGGTCAATAAGTTTAAGTTAGTGAGGAGTAGATTATATGCATGCTTAATAAGTCTCTTTTCCAAATAATGAATTCTTTTTCTGTTAATAACTTCAATTCCAGCATTTATTTCAAACCCATTCAAACATAAACTCAAGAACGCGAGACTTGTCAAACGACAATTCAGTAGCACTAATCTATGTGGAGACGATATATAAAACTAAATAAATACTTACTTTGGCTTGTCGTTTTACCGCTTCAGCAAAATAGTGTTATTGTTGAGGATTGGTGATGTTATTGGATCGCATTGCGATAGTTTCTTTGTTTTTGAGTTTTACATATGTATATTTTGTTTTTGAGTTTCGAATTTAGTTATTGGATCATATTGTTTATATTGTGTAATTAGACTTGTATATGTATACTTGTGCATTTATTTCTTTATGTTTATCATACTTGTGAATTTTACATGTTTTCAATACTTGTAAATTTAGTGTATATGTTCGTTTCTTTTCACGTTCGCTAAGTGTTTGGTTAGGTTTTGCCATCAGAGAGCGCTAACAGTGTGTCGTAACCGGCCAAAAATAAAGAGTCACCACTATTAATTTTTGTTCTAAGGACATGAAAGTAATTGATAACTCTAATTATTTTAGAGATTCCAAGTTCGTAAGTCAATTAGATGAAGGGAAGGTGTTAGAAACCCTTCAGCTCCCTTGTTCTCAAGGGGCTTCGCTCTTAGGTCTAAGGGTAAGATTGAAAATTCTACTTTAAAGGTATATAATTGCAAAGCTTAGAAAAACAAAAAAGGTTTTAGTTTTTTAGTTGGGGGACTCGCCTTGGTTTTAAAGTCACATGCCTACGTATCCTCTTATGAGGAATCAGAGTCCTAATTTGTAGTTCATAGTTTGGTTGGTGTTTTTTTATAGGATTGTGTAGAATTGCTTCCGACTTATCCTTGAACCTTGTCTGGATTTGAAAAATGAGTGATCGTAGACGCAATTCATAGTTAAGTTTGAAGGCAACTCTATTTAATCCTTTTTTTGAAAATATCTTGAACTTTTATTATGTTAGTGAAAAAGATTTTTGATACTTGGTTAGCTGTTTTAATTGGTTTGAATCGTTGAATAAGATCAAGTCTCCGTCAAAATTAAGTCGCTCTAGGCGAAGTAATTGATTCAATTGAGTCTTGATAAAGAATCTTATATGAATTTTAATTGTTTATTAATTAAATGAAATGAATATATTTATATGCTTTTTTTTATATTAAATAACTTACCAATTGACTAATTGACTAAAAAAAACTACTAAAATATGATAAAGGGGGTGTAAACTAAGACTGGGTAGTATATTAGTAGAAGTGTAGAAAAATAAAATAAAAGGGCCAAGGCCCATAGAATTCCAAAGAAACCAATAAATGATAATAAAATGAAATATAAATAAAAAGAAGAAAAAAATATTGGAATACATCAGGAAGACAAAGAAAACGTGAACCCACCCCCTCTTAACACCACTCGGTCAAAATCCCTCCCCCCAAAATCCAAATTTCCACCAGATCCAATCTTAACTCGCCATTTGTCATTATTAAGAACTTATAAATAAATAAAAAAAGATTTAATAAATCATTATAACTAGTCAGCATATGTTTCTCCCAACCCACATATTTCAAAAAAAAAATCAAATTTCATATAGAGCTAAAAGGAAATTCACCTGCAGCATTTTCCGACGGCGGATCTGGGTATAGCTCGGCTCCATGGCAACGTCGGAAGTGACGCTCAATGGCGGAGGAGCGTAGATGTCGCGCAATCAGAACTTTTGGGTTTTCGCGGCGTTTTGACGCGATCTGGGCGGTCGTGGTTGAATCGCGACGGACTCGTGGGGGTGGCTGTCTGAATGGGAGCGGAGAACACAGTCAGAGGGAGGATGGCGGCAGTTACCTCGCCGGTCGTGTGCGGACGCGATGTTTGGGTTTTGCAGGAGTGAAGGCAGAAGATGGTAGCGGTTTGCGATCTGGTCGTGAAGTTGATCCGGTACGTTGCGGACTCGGCTTGCGCGGTTTGTTGGTTGTTCTTCTTCTTTTCCTGTACAAAAAAACAAAGATGGCAACATACAAAACAACTATGATAAACGATAATGAGGGTGTGTTCTTGTTGGTTTTTCGTTATGATTCCGCGATGTTTTTTTCTTTGTGTTTTGTAGATGTCGTTACTTTACTAAACTTGAAACCTGTTATCAAAATGCCACAAAAACAGAGTGATAAAAACAAGATTAATGTGAAATTGTGAACGTTGAAAGCATGATGTTGTTCTGCGTCGCCTTGAGTTGATTAGGAAGATGGTGATTCTTATTGAAGATGGTTTGAACGTTTGTGTTGCATGGAACATGGATTCATGGATGTGTAAAGTCCATGTTGAATCGTTTGAATTGTAGGTTGTTTCTTTTACAGGTAATAAGAAAGGTGAAGTTTGAAGGTTATAGGTTAGAAGAAGGAAGTAGCACGGTGATGATGATGACAGTTTGTTATGTGATTTGTGAATGATTACTAAAATTGTTGATCGATGATCTCTGAATAATTATTGTTAGTTTTCTATTAAAGACAACAACATGGTTTATAGATTGTGTTCGAGACAAAAACTCTGAAATAAATCAAAAACAAAAAGAAAATTTGTAAGAGAGATTGCAAAATTATTGATTCATAAATAATTGTTGATGAGATTGTTGATGTCTAAAACTATAAAAATAGAGTGTTATTTATAGAGTTGAAAAATTAGATTAAAGGATAAAACAGAGAAAATAAAATCAAATTAATGTTGATTGTATATTGATCAACAAGATTAAGAACCTCGACTCAATTGTAACTTTGTGCAATATTGGATTTGAAAAATATTTAATATGAAAAAGATATTGTTTATTTTTAAATTTATGACTATTTTTTATATAAAATAATGATTTAAATAAAAATTAATATTTTAAAATATAATAAATAAAAGAAAATAAAAATAGTATTTAAATATTAAAAAAATACGACTTTAATAATTTTGAAAATAATTAAAAATGAAAATAAAGTTAGAAATAATAAATACAAAAAAATTTCAAAGTGCACTAAGTGAGATTCGAATCCATGATCTTATGTTTGCAAGTTTTATCTCTTAACCAATTGCGTTATCTTATTTATTTTTTGAAATAAAATAGCATTAGAAAGCATATGAAGGTCCCATCAATATTTATTATTTAAAAATATAAATAGTTCAACGTAAACTATTATATATTTTTAAATTAGCAGAATAAATTATTGTTAGTAAAATAAATCGAAAATTTTATAAAATCCAAGTTTGAAATAATTTGACTGTTAGAAAAAGAGGTGGGCAAATCTGGGGTATGACAACTGCCCCTATTTAATTACTCTTTGATTGAAGCGTGCGAGTATGCGAAGGTCTCACACGTTTGGATCAGAGGATGATTAAATAATGAAGACCCCAAATTTGACGAAAAGCTTTTGAAAAATGAAGTGTATAGTAAACCAAAAGGTAGACAAGCAAGGATGACGCAGTAAACTCACTAATGCCTAGAGCCTGAACCTAGATATGACGACGTAGATAACTCGTCAACACCTAGAAAAAGTAATCGTAGACTTTGTGTATTTACTGTAACCTAGAAGATAAATAACACAAGCTTGAAAATAGATAACTTATTGTTGCTTTGAGACTGATGCAACAAGTTAAATCATAGTTATGGCGTATTTGCCACGACCTAGAGGGTAAATAACACCGGTTTGAAAATTGACTTACTAACGCTTCGAGACTAATATAATAAGCTACAAATGCAAATTTTGCCTACTCATCACAGCCTAGGGGATGAATAACACAAAGTTTTATAACTCATTATCGCTTGGAGACTAACACAATGAACTATATCGCAGAAACTAAATAACTTATTACTGCTTTAAGACTGATGCAACGAGTTATATAGCAAATTTCTTATATCTACTATAACATAGGGAGTAAATGATACGGATTTGAAAATATCTTACTAACGCTTCGAAACTAACATAGTAAGGCATATCACAGACTGATATATTTATCACAACCTAGAGGATAAATACCACAAGATTGATAATTCATCGTTGCTTGGAGACTGATACCATGAATTATATCGTAGATTTTCTCATATCTACCGCAACCTAGGGGATAAATAACGCGAGTTTTGAAAAATAACTTGCTAACGGTTAGAGACTAACATAGTAAATTATACCACGAATTTTACATTTACCACAACCTAAGGGGTAAACAATGCATATTCGATAATTCATTGCCGCTTTGAGACTAACACAATGAACTATCGCAGATTTTTTACATATCAACCATAACCTAGGGGGTAGATAGTATGAGTTTTGAAAAGATAACTTACTAGCGCTTAGAGACTAACATAGTAAGCTATATCGCAGATTTTACACATCTACCACAATCTAGGGTGTAGATAATGCAAGTTTTGAAAAATAGATAACCTATTGCTGCTTCGAGACTGACGCAACGAGTTATATCGCAGATTTTGTACATCTACCACAACCTAGGTGGTAGATAGTACGAATTTTGAAAAATAACTTAATAAAGCTTTGAGACTAACATAGTAAGATATATCGCAGTTTTCATAACCTAAGGGGTAAATAACATATATTTCATAATTCGATGACGCTTCGAGACTAACACAATGAATTATATCACATATTTTGTATATCTATCACAACCTAGAGGATAGATGATGTTGATTTGAAATTTGTATCTGAATTGTTTAAAAAGTTTGAATCTAAAAAATTTTGAATTTGAAAAAAGAGATTTTGATAGCTCGAAAATTTTGAATTTGCACCTTTTGACCCTTGAAATGTGCGACAGTTGAAAACTTGAATAGTATGCCCGTAGGCTGATGCCAACTAGGCTATAGATATGAACTGCAAGTATACCGTCTAGTGTAATCTAGTTTTGTAGCACCTCTAATTGTTATATATATTCGTAGCTAAGGTTTCTACTTGTAATTTCGTAAAGTTAAGATTTGAATTTGTAATCTATGTAGATGACTTATCTAGCTAATAGGATTTGAGATTTTTTGAGGTATTTTGGGGCTTATGTCTCGATTGAAATGTTTGTGCACCATGCTTAATACAAATATGTAAATGCACCAAGTGTTATAAATGTTTATTTCTCGGTAAGAAAATATTTTTATACAGAGTTTCCTCGTTGGATCATTGGATTTTCCGTTTTGGAGGAAATATGTTTTCTCGATTTTGATTTTGGAAGGTGTGATTTTGTTTGCTTCGAAGTCGGCTGTCTTGAAGTTGTTTTTTTTTTTGAAATTTCTTTGAAGTTGATCCTTGAATGTATGCCACCTTGAAGTTGTTATTTTGAAATTTTGTTGTTGACGTCGACTTGGAATTTTGCTTTTTGTCGTTTTGAGATTGATTTGAAAGTTTGTGCGTTGACTTCCTTTATGACACCTGGGCCATATTTGAATGCTTGCATGCTCCATTTGAGTATATATTGGAAACCAAGGGTTTCCCTTCGATTTTTTTCGGATTTAAAACACCTTTATTGTTTTCAACACTTTTGATCATTTATGCCCATAAAGTTTTAATGCATCGTTTATAAAAAATGATTGTCATATTTACAAACAAGCAGAAATGATAAAAGAGTGAGAAAATAGAAATGCAAAAGTAAGAGCTCCAAAAAAATGAAAGTTTATAAATAGTGGGGCTTGTAAATAGGCAATGATATAAGATGTAATCTCTTAAAAGAGGTAATTACAACAAGTTTTAGCAAAATTGAAAATGGTAATGAAAATGATAATCGATACCGCTATCTCTCCAATGTCTCTTGATAACTCCAATCTCCTTGCTTCTAAATAAGATGATTTGAATTAATCCTTCCCCTTCATAGTTGTGGTAATGAATTCTCGAGTCGCGGTCTATTTGTTCATATTTTGGATAAAATCCCTAACTTTTGCCTGGATCGCTTTTTCAGGTTTTCAATCCACTGGGGTGATGATTTTGTTTATATGTCCCTAATTTTTGCTTGGATCTCCCTTTAGGATTTTCAATCCATTGGGACGCCCCTTTTTGCCTAAACCACCTGTTTAGGGTTTCGATCTAGCGGGCTTTTTATACATAGTATTTTCTGATTGCGTCGGAGTTTAGTGGACGTGGTGGTTCTTCCCCATCCATTGTTGTGAGGATAAGACCCCCGCCTAAGAATGTTGTTTTAACCATATATGGACCTTTGTAGTTAGGTGTCCATTTTCCACGTGTATTCGAATTGAGGTAGTAAGATCTTATTTAACATTAAATTGTCTTTGTGGCATACTCGAGGGCTTCTTTGTTAAAGGTTTTCTTTATCCGTTGTTTAGCTGTTTTTTCTTGATGAGTTTTTTGAATTGATCGAGTTGTGCTTGCGCCCATTAGAAATTTTCAAGCTTAGTTTCCATGAGTACTCATGGTGATGCTATTCTCATTTCTAATAAGAATACTACTTTTATGTAAATAGGAAAGACAAAGGTTGTCCCTATGCTCTAAGAGAAGACGTGTATTAAAATATAACCACATGTGCTCCAAGGAGTCGTAGAGGTAGTCATATTTGTGTATTCGGGGTCCATCTTGATTTGGGTGGCATTTGGGAAACCAATTTATGAGTGAGGATATCGGGCATTGAGCCGTATTGTTTACCAATACCTCAATGTGAGGTAATGGAAAGTCATATTTTAGGCTCGCTTTGTTTAACTCCTATTAGTCTCCATGTATACGGACTTTGCGTCTTTCTTTGATACAAGCATGATGTTTGTAAACCATTATGGATATTTCACGATGGCTAGAAAACCCGATGTTGAGTTATTCATAAACTCTCTCCTTTTTTTCTTTTTGTATTTTAAGACTGATGTCTTGTTCTTTGTTTAATTAGCAGGTAACTTTTCTGAGGGTCCGTGTATACACCACAATATTTGTGTCCAAGCCTGTTATGTCTTATATGACCAAGCAAACACGTATACGTACTCGTGCGGAGTTTCAATGGTTTTGTCTTCTCATCTTTGTCCAAGGAAGCCCATATTTTGATCTTTTTCTTGTCTTCCTTGGTTCTAAGGTTGATTACCCTAATCGATTATTGGTGTGTGTAACGCGGTGGGAGAACTGACTTGGTTGTTTTGAATTTGATCGCATTTGTTGGGGATAGCAAGAGTCGCCACCAACTTTTCTTTTATCCAATATGGAAAGGCTGAAAAGAACAGGAAAGACCTTTCGAGATTA